GATTTAAGTAATCTTCACTTGAAATCTTTTATTAAACACAATGTTGTGTTTTTCAGTGTGCACACAAAGGCTGCTGCTCCTCATTCCCTTGCTTCACTTTTCAAGGAGAGGACAAGACATGATTTATTCACAAATCTTTAACTAAATTCTTTATAACTTTTACTAGATAATGATGAGAGTAAATTTTACATGAATTTGTAGCATTTAAATTTACTTACCAAACGTTAGTGCAATTGGTTTACAGGATTTTCTCTAGTAAATCTTACAAGTTATTTTTACAGTGTATGTACTGATGCTGAAAACGGGTTTAAAACCCCTAAACAGGGTGGTCTAACAGCAGCTGTAACTTTAATTTCATACAGTAAGAGCATAATATCTGATTCAACATTGCCTATATGATGTATTAGCAGAGAATATGTGTTTATTATTTTAAATATTAAGGATTTCTATGAACTATTATGAATTCACAGCAGCTAATGCCATCTATTAAGAAAAGATACCACATTTAAGACAAATTATATACAACGAAGTAATGTATGGAAATGGAAATGCATTGTGTGGGGCTGTTATCTTTTTTTTTGTCCTCATTCATTCAATTGTTCCTTTTAGCCTCTGACATAAAACCCTGTTTTAGGAAACCTCAAAATATTCTAACACTGCTGAATATAATGGGGACAATGGCAGGTTTTGACAGCTAATCATATTTCAAAGTCAGTGACATAATAAAATGCTTTGACTAAAGTTTCTATGGTGATTCAGTCTGAAGGTACAATGGGTATAAATTAAATTGGATGATACAATTGAGTTTTAAATAGTGTGGAACAAACTAAGGGTATTGTAACTGTGGAAGAAGTTTTAATTTCACCATTATGCCTATGTGTGTGTGTTTTTTTGTTTTTTGTCTTTTTGCATGTACATGCAGAAGCTGTAAATCTASTAATACCAAGGTTTACGTGCAAGGCCAGAGAAAATGGATTTCCTTTCAAATAAGCTGCATTCTTATAACCCACCACTTATCTGTTTAATTTCCTGAGGGATTCTGGATTAATCATAGCAGTTTAATCCCTTTGCACTGCATAAGAATCCTCCATCAAACTCACTGTAATGCCGGATTGTTCATTGGGGTAACACAGCCAGAGTAATCCCCGCACACTTTCCTGAGAAACCCTCTTCATAGGTCACTATGATTGGCCTGCAGCTCTCATTACGGGTCTTTAAAATGCTTTAAATTGCCCAGATGTCTTTGATTAATCTCTACAAAGTCYAGCTAAATTGTTAGTAAGTATACTCAAACTATTTTAAATCTCCCACAGAAAGAGATTCTCCTGTTGGTAATTGAATGTCTCAAGAGCTCCCCTTATTAAAGGGATCCCTGATTAGTTGTAACATTAGACTTTATTTGATAAACATTTATTTTAACTGTAAATTAAAGACTGCAAAAATACCGTAGGCTGTTTAGTTTTGTGAATTTTTCAAAATATATTTTAACACGGACGGAGCCATTTTGTTTACACTCAAAGCATTCTGGGTAAATGATGACGTGGATAGGTCCTCGGTGCGAGGCTGCTATATCCACCCTGAAGGTTAATTTTGGACAGTATCTGATGATCGACTCTTTGAAATGAAACCAGAGAGCGTTGACAGAGAGGAGAAGGTAGAAACGACTCAGCCTGTAATTGAAAATATGGATGGAGGACAACAGAGCTGCTTCATGGAAGAAGAACCTCAGCTTAGCATCTTAGCCTTCACGCTAGAGCCAACGCTATATTGCCTTATATGTATTAGCTCGGCGCTAGCGCGACAAACAACTGAGGTCCTCCATCTATATTTTCAGTTGCAGTCATTTTTGCGTTCCCCTCTCTGTCATGTGGATGGAGGACCTCAGTGATGAGAGGAGAATGTGTAGCACTGAGCTAATACATATATATGGTGATAGCATCGGGGCTAGCGCAAAGGCTAACAGGCTAAGCTGAGGTTCTTCTTCCATGAAGCAGCTCTGTTGTCCTCCATCCATATTTTCAGTTACAGGCRGAGTCATTTCTACCTTCTCCTCTCTGTCAACGCTCTCTGGTTTCATGTAAAAGAGACAATCGTCAGATACTGTCCAAAATTAACCTTCAGGGTGGATATAGCTCGCTAGCAGCCTCATACCGAGGACCTATCCATGTCATCATTTACCCAGAATGCTCTGTGTGTAAATAAAATGGCCCCGTCCGTGAAATATATTTTTTAACTTTTAGTTTAAAAATTATAAAAACTAAACAACCTACAGTATTTTTACAGTCTTTATTTTACAGTTAAAATATATGTTTATTAAAAAAAGTCTAATGTTACAACTAATCACGGATCCCTTTAAAAGTATTTGCTCTGACTTTGTTAGCCCCTACTGCTGTTTTCTTAAAGGAGAGAACTGTTTAATAATCACCGCAGCACCACCAGTGATCAATATGATTAGGCAAAGTAAAACGTTGTCATAATCAAGCTGTGGAATAATGACAAAAAAAGGTCAAAAAGGGAGAAAAGGAGCCATTGCACTGCGAAAGCCTGACATTTTGATATATTCCACAAACGGCTTGACGTAAACTATTTCTCCCCCTACTGTTTCTGTTCAGTGGCAGTTATGTTTGCAAATCCCACATAATATGAGAAGCAGAGCCGTTTTCACTGCACGGTCAGCAGCAATAAGTTGTTTTCGAGTATTATCTCTTTCCCTTTAAATAATTTAAACATCTAGCGGTCTTTAAAGGAATGCGTACCCACCCYCTGCCTTTCACGCKAGAGTTTTAAACTAACGTCATRTTGCAACYAAAAACAATCAAGCTGTAATTGTTTTGGTCAAACCATAAAATGTTATGCATATTCTTCAGCAATACCACAAATTTATGACAAAGTATTGACAAACTATGAAAATGTTTTGGTTTTTAATAAAGTTATWATAGTATGAGAAWAAAGTCATAATATTACAATAAAGTTGTATGGAGTAAAATCGAAATAATYCAATAATAAAGTCATATTACAAAGCAGTCTTACTAGTTKGTTAAAATGAGYAAWMTTGAGCATCTTGTTCTAGACATTAAATATCACCATTGAGCATCTGTGTTATTTAGATATATTTAKTAACTAGCTACAGATGTGCATCTAATGGTTAGCTTGTGCAAGTTTCACTAAATTCCATCCAGTGGTTCATGAGATAAGTTGCTAACAGACAATGTACACACACACATGGGCAAACACATTATTGTCCACCTTTTCCTTTGAACAGCAGGCAATAACGATCAAGCTGCACCTGTTTACCAACCTTATAGCTAATAATATTACAGTAAACTCTTCGAATACAAAATAATAAAAAACCCAAGATGCACTAATAAACCTGGCTTTTATCAGATTATTTTAATGAGTTAGGATGTTTTTTTTTTTACTATTAATGAACGCCTCCAAAACTGTGTCAAATTATCAAACAATAACAAGTGCAGCTTGTGTGGACTCATTAAAATCTCAAATGGAGCATTAAATTATCTCCTCTACATTCCGATGACTTGAGAGGCACTCTAGCTGCTCTGCCTGTTAAAATGTTGATTTGTGTTGCCATTAAAATACCTTTTGCACTTAGATTAATTAAAGCAACATTTACTCTTAAATTATGGTATTCTTCCCACATTAAAAAGTCTCTCTGGTTTGCACTTTTGGCATTTAGTTATTGCAATGGGCATGGGTAAAATAATGAAGGAGAGAGAAAAAAAAAAGAAAAGAAAAAAATCTCTCAGGAGACAAAAGCCCAAAAAGTGACACCATAATAAGAGAAACATTGTTTATATTTGTTTTAGAATTGATGATATCAGTGGAATGCCTAAAGATTAAGCTTAAAATAATTCCAGCTTCCTCGCATTATGCTTTGATTCTACAACCTTATGCAAATATATGTTTAGCAAAAGTAATTAATCATAATGAATGTGGCACTATGCTGAACTTTAGCTTATTTTCAGGGCATTTTCAAATTGAAGCTGACAAACATTTATTTACCACGCTTATAAAACAAGCTCCTTCACCTTTCACCACGAAAACAGCAAAACAATAAATGAATATTACTAAAACATCCCGCATGTTTTCATTTTTGATGGATTTGTGTCATCCTTTGATGAGTCCTGGAGCTCCTGATCACGTTTTTTTCTCTGGATTTGACTTGACTGAGCTAGCAATCAAGCCTGTAATGGGATTTGCTGTGTACAGTCAGTAAACAAACGGTGCAAACGTATTGATGTTTAATGAAGACCCTAAATTTAATTTCAGGGGTGAGAAAATTAAAGCATGAAGAGGCTGCAGAAATAATGATAACCACAATTAGAATGACAAAGGAATGACCTGCAATCCTGAAATGCGTGTTTAAATCAATGTTTGATCCTTTGTGCATAAGATCTGCATTAAATATCCTCTTTTATGGGCTATTAGGTATCAGGTCAATAGGTACTAAAGGTATATGTGTGCTTGTCTGTGCGTGTGGGAGGATGGGGTGGGGGATGGGGAATAAACAAAAAACGACCAGTGTTTTAACTAGTCTAAACTATTAAACAAAGATTTATTTCCATTTCATATGATTTGGCCTAACAAATCAGAAAAAATAAAATGGAAAATTAATAAATAAATAAGCTGAAGTAAACAAGCCATCTAAACCTTTTTTATGGCTGTTCCCACTGCAGTCACCACAGCGAGTCATCCTCTGTCCTCTGTCCTCATCCCAACTATCTACATGTCCTCTTTAAAGGCATTTTGTATTGTACGGCCCGGCCTTATTCTACTCTGATTGTGTTTGCATTGAGCAGAGTGCTGCCTCGATGTGGGCGGGATCATAATATTAAACACGTGCAAATTTTATTTTGTTTCATTTTGCAAGACAACATTAATGGACTACACCAAACTGGTGAAAAATGGTGACGTGTTCAATACTTATTTTACCCGCTGTATCACCTGTGTATTGTGGTGTTTTGTTTGTTATCTTTTATTAATCTTTCATTATTCTTCTCAGCCTCTCTTGTATTATGCTGCAGTAATGTGCAAATTTCCAGACTGTGGGATCAATAAAGTTTTATCTAATCTTATTTTATCTTAAAAACAGTTTTTAGTCGGTAGATAACCGTTTTTGCTATGAAACTACAAATATGGCCGAACGGGGTGGAGTCGAACGTCCAGCGACCTGGAGGGGGCGGGGTGTGAAATATCTCACTTGTATTTAAAGAGACCGCACCAAAACAGCTTGCTCTGAGGCGCAACTCAGAACAGGGGTAAAGCAAGGAAAGCAAGGAGTCTGTGGAGCAACAAAAACAAGAATTAAGACCAAAGCGTTGCAGTTTTATTTTAAATAGGGCCATAAGTGAATGATTTAGACGTGAAAAAGAAGGATTTAAAAGCATGATTTGATACCTTTAAATAAATTTGGGATAACCGCATCAAACTGCTCCGGGAGGACCACAAAACATTGTTCTATGGTTCTTATAACAGTGACTCAGGATACAGCCACCATCACAGAAGTATTTTTGATTACTTTTCCCAAACTAGATGCTAGTTAACAGCTTGATTGGAGTGAGGGAACCAGCTGAATTTGACTGGAAGGAAGTGCAACCAAGGATTTAACATCACCTCCAAATATTTTATCAGAGGTAAAAGACAAACACTGGACCACCTGGATCCTATCCCTGCACTTTCTGTCAATAAACAGGTACTGTAAACCTTATTGTTTGTACTGTAGCATACTGCTAACTTTATTCCTAGCATCCATGCTAGCATCATACAGCGATACACTGCAGTCGATCACACATACGGTGATCATATTGTACTTACACAAATTCTAAACATCACCATTAAGTTTCTTTGAATGATGCAAAAGTGGTCAGCGAAAATACACACATAGATGCAGCGAGCTAAGCTATAATAAAACATCTGTAAAAACAACAAACTTTTTAACAATGCCGCTTGCTTTCCAAGTCTGTTGAATCTGCTCTAGGAACATATTTTTCTGTTGCGGTATTAACACCAACTCTCTGTAGAATCTAGACCATCTGTCTGATCTTGCAGATAATGTATGCCAAATGATATGTGTGACGTCACGAGTGAAGGTCTCCATTGTACCGTGGGTTTCTGCTGGGTTTCAGAAATTGGGGTGGTCTTGGGCCATAAAGCCAGACTGACCCGGGTTGGGCCTTGCAGTGCAAAAAGAACTTAAATGCATCCACATAACCCCTCTTAAAGCATAGGACTGACTACAAGCCAAAAGGCATAGTAATCATAATTTCTGCTTAAAACAATTTAGTTTGAGAACCTATCCCTTCCATGTCAGTTAAGAATCATTAAAGGGTATGTAGCATATGTACAAATTTAATTAGTACAAGCTGCTACCAAACACACACATTTAGCATTACATTCAAATTGACCTAAAGATACGGCATTTATCTCAAATATTTGTATTTTACTGTAGGTGTATGAGCCCTAACAGCTGCTCTGTCCTTTTTTTTGTTTTAGTAGCTTGGTAGTCATTGTTTATTCATTTCAGACATTTTACAGAAACCTGAAATGTGAAGACAATCTTAAATACCACCAATGTTAATCATAACACCACTAGATGCTAGAGTCCTAGTTTTCCAGCCATAAAAGTGTCATCGGGCAACGAATCTTAACCCCACAGCCACATGATGACAGATAAGACATTCAGGTTTTTCAGATGGTCAGAACGGTCACAGGGTTATTGTTAAATTAATTGTTCCTTTAACCTTGAGCAAAAAGTCAAAAGGCAGGATTGATCAGCCAAACAATGTGGGTTCATCTTGGGGGGTAAATTTCACTTTGTCATCGTATCTTGTTCTTTTTTTTCCCCTTGCCCTCCAGCTGACACAACACCTACAATTTCCAGTAAGTGGGCATTTACTCTCCACAACCCAACATGTCTATTGAGCTGTCACAAAGAAAGGGGCATTCTCTTTTTGAACTACACCTGTTTTTTAGTGATCGTACAAATCTATGATTTCCCAATTCAGACTGCTTGGGTGAATTGTGGAAAAGACATTTCACCTTGTGGGGTTAATTGTATGGTAACTTCTCTTAAGGACCTTGACAGAGAAACATGAAGCTTTGCCCGATGCTACAGGCATTGGCATTTGCTCTCTGTTGGAGAGAAGACATCCTCCTTTCTCAAACACCAGAAGTATAAATTTTCCATACAGAGAATTGCTGTCTTTCTTGACATTTAGACCCTGCAGAGGTCCTCGAAAAAAAAAAAAAAACAGTAGCTCTTGTTACAAAATAAATTACTAAATGGAAAAAAGGCAAAACACAACAGCAGGTAAGAAATAACTTGAGTTAAAAAAAGCAAAGACAATTTGCAACAAGGGGGCAAAGAAATGGAGAGCAATGTGTGGATGCTGCATATGAAGCCCAAGAAACTCATCTTTTAGATGGTCACCACAGCTTATCGACTTTAGCCGACAGAAAAATGTCTATAACTGTCATTTGACGCGCACGCTTAACTTTACATTTAGGACATTTAAAATTTTTGCATTTGTTAACATGTTTATCAGTGCTTTTGGGAATGAAAGTTGGTTATTTTCAACATTTAGGCTGCAACATTTTTGGTTGACTTTCCACACACACACAAAAAAAACATTTTTTTTCTTTTTTGTTTAAATCTAGTTTAGCAACTGTATCTGTTTAGCTTTCATAAAGAGTACGTACACATGATGTCAAATCAAAACTGGCTCTCTTCCTACAGCCGTCACACTCACTCAATTGCAGGRTGTTGTTGGGAGGAATTGATCGTACCTTTTCAGCTGGACAGTGACATCTGTCAATTGACTGTGAGGCCGGCTGAGAGAGCATCAGGGGAATCTGGGTTGTAGCTGGAGGAGGGGATGTCCCATTAACTGTCTTCTTGATGCCACACTGGATCGATACAGAAATTTCAGCATTAAAAACCTTCTTTCGTTATCTTTCCTGAAGGACAGGGGAAATAAAAATCTACAGAATACACAGCAACTCAGCTAAGTTTAGGAAAGTGTAGACTCAAACTACAGCCGAAGTTCCTATTTGACTCATAACCATCACCTGGGGTAACCTTACACTGCCATGACAGTATCCTTATAATGATATGTCATGGTCAGGGGTTAAAGGTCTTACTTCCATGTGGAATTACTATAACATTAGCTCTTATTGATTTTACAGTGATGAAAGATCTCTATTAAATTTCTATCTGGGGACACTACAGTCTGTTTCTGCAGAACATCAACACAATATTTGTAGAAAGTGTGCATTTACATATAACAATTTCTTTCTGTCTCAGGCATATTGTAAAAATGTAAATACACTCAAATCTCAGAAAATTCTTATTGATTGATATATTTATTTTTTTCTTTTGCAGCAGAAAGGTGTTATTTCTTTACTGAAACAAACAAAAAATTACCTCTGGATCAAGGAGTTCACAACAATTTTCCATCTCGGCCATATAGGGGTCACAGTAAAGGAGAATTTGTTTCAGTTCAATCTGTTGGACAAAGAAAAAAAACTCATATGCCATTCTACAATGCCATTTTTACATCAAGCTCTTAACTAAAATATGTTCTTGGCACAGTTCAATTTATAACATTTTGACTTTTCTAGTTTCGTAACATGGAGTTTTACATCATCTGATCCAAATTCTATACCCCTTGGTCCTGTGCATTCTCATGGAAACTGGTGCCTATATCTCCACCAGTCAAAGCAAGCAGTGGGGGGTACATTCTAGACATGTCACCAGTTCATCAGGCCCGTGTTTACGCTCACTCTTGCACCAAGGACCAAATTAGAAAGGCCAATTAAGCTAATACGCATTTTTTTGGACAGCAGGGCGAAGTTAGAGTATCTGGAGAAAGTGCTCACACCCACAGGAAGGACATGCAAATAATATGCAGAAAGGCCAAAATCAGGAGTCAAACTAACTCTGCTGCCATGCAGCCCTACAGTTTATCTTRCCTACAAAACAGCCTTAACACCTTAACAGTCGACCCTGAAATTTCAACATTTTTACATTTTTTTGTAAGGGTGTCAAACTAACAGTTAGAACCAGAGGAAGTTGTATGATACCCTAGTTTTCAAAATAAAAGTCCACTGTAGTGTCTGGAAATGTTTAAAGGCAGAAGCCGCACCATTTTTGCCCACCGGTGGAACAAAGACTACATAAAACACAAAAGGCTTGTTGAAACACTTTAACAGTTTTGTGGAGGTATTATGAAAAAACGTACTTATCATACAATATTATAATGTTTTTCCAATCATAAACATAGAGTGTTGCTTTGTCTCATTCATGCATATTTGAGAAATCCTTAAATCTCCTGTGGTAGCCATGTGGAACTGTCTAAATGCTTCCTGGTTTAAAGCATGACCTATCCATACAAAGCTCCTCCCAGGGTAAGAGGTTCAGAGTCTGAGGCCAATTTCAAGATGCTTTGATAGGCTATGATGCAAAGTCAAACTTATTTTTCATATATGCAGCGTTTTCACAAAAACTGAAAGTAACAGGGTTGGGTGATATTGCCCCCACCCCCCCAAAAAAAAAATCACGATTAATCGTGGAATTTAGCCGATAACGATTAATGTGACGATTAATCCCCTGGAGTCAATGGAAGTCTGCATGCCCTAGTCACAAATCACTCTAGTGGGAAAGATTTGCTCTCCGAAAAAATCTGTTCCAAATTGCATCAAAAGTACAGACTTCAGGCTATATATACATCAATTTTTTTAATTATGTTGATAAGCCAAGTAAAGCTGAAGTTARGATGAATAAATTACGGAACTTTTTTTAAAAAATGTTCATCATATTCGAATCGTAGAGTAGCTTCGAGTCAGTCTACCTAGCGGCATTTATCTTATTAATCATCAAGTGCCAAAAATAATCGATTGAAGTTTTTCTAACAGTTAATTGCACACGACATGATTATGCCCAACCCTACTTGATTGTGGTATACTGTAGACTTGAACCATGTATCTGGAAAATACCTAATACCCCCATTAAAAAGTTACCAACATACATCGACAGGCTTTTCATCCTCCACTCGCGTAGTGATGAGTGTGTGCCCACCGAGGTCAATGCTGTCCCTCTCATCAATCACACCTCCTTCTATTCGTCTGCAGTCCATGTAAATGGAGATGGAGTTGCTATGTACAGAAATGCTCAGCTTGTGCCACTGGCGATCAAAGAGGGCATGCAGGTCACGACTTTTAAACGTGTAGCGGTTGGTGGTCTTCAGCTGGGCCCGGTAAGAAAACTCCAACACCTTTTTATCACCATCAACCACCACAGACACCTGAGAAGAACAGAAGAGTGTGTGGAGACAAATCACATTGCAAATATATATATATATATAAATGTATAATGTTTTTGTAACTGTCGAAGTATCTAAGATTAAAATGGTCCAACCTGGTTTCCTGTCTGGTCAAATATCCGCCAAAGATACCAACGGTCTTTTTTTGTAGTTCGTCTCACCCGGAAGATGGACACAAGTGAGTACTCACTTGAAAACCCATCAGGAAATAGTAATCTGATAAAAAAAAAGATATTTATACAACAGTCAAATTCTAATCAAATATGTCCTGATGCATCTCAGTAATCCAGGTAGAAAAAAATCAAAAAGCAAAAATAAACAGGTCCTCTGGATGGGTTCTTCTTTAGTGAAACATTTGGTCTCTCCTCCAAGAGACTTCTTCAGTCTGATGAGTTTCAGGTGAACTCGGCCTTAAAAGCACTGCCTCCACKTGGACAAACGGGTTAGTCACATGCAAGAGGGGGCCATCGCTTAACAACAAGCTTGATTAGCTCTATTGTTCATAGAGGGTCATGTGCCCCATCACCTGACTTATTGGTTTGAATGCTGTGGTTCTTTGGTGTCAAGTCATGTGTATGTAGTGAATGCAGGTGGGGCTCAACGTCCCCTTGTTTTTGTTTTTTTCCCTCTTTGTGTTGGTTATCGTTGGGGCCCTGATTCACACCTTTGACTCAGCCGCCTGTGAGCAAAAGGTGTGAATCAGGACCCCAACGATAACCAACACAAAGAGGGAAAAAAACAAAAACAAGGGGACGTTGAGCCCCACCTGCATTCACTACATACACATGACACGACACCAAAGAACCACAGCATTCAAACCAATAAATCTGGTGATGGGGCAGTTGACCCTCTATGAACAATAGAGCTAATCAAGCCTATTGTTAAGCGAAGGCCCTCTTTTGCATGTGACTAACCTCTTTGTCTACCATGTGGAGGCAGTGCTTATAAGGCTGAGTTCACCTGAAACTCATCAAACTGAAGAAGTCTCTTGGAGGAGAGACGAAACGTTTCACTAAAGAAGAACCCATCCAGAGGACCTACTTATTTTTGCCTTTTGATCTAATCAAATATCAACATCCGACAGTTCAAGACAATTCTCAGTGCTGAAAATAAATGGGGGATGAATAATGAGCAGGCCAATCAACTTCAGTGATCAATAAAACATTTTAGTGTCCTCTCGATGCAGGAGCATTCACATAAATAAACCTGAGAAACTTAATTCCATTTAGCGTGATGAATTTTACTCAGGCCTGCCTGTCATTCAGATAATGAAAGCATACACACATTGATCCAAAGACAAAGAAGGCAGGTTTTTATTGCACTGGAACACTTACATGGTTATGGATGTAAACAACAAAGACCAGCTACAGGTCCATATTTATGACTTTGGATGCCTCATTTAAAGAGTGTGCTGGTGCAAAAAAAATGAAGTACATGAAGAAAACATGATATTCCACTCTATGGCCCTGTGATAACCTGACGGTCTGTTCAGGGTGTACAGGCTGTTCACCTATTTACTGTTGGAGAAAGGGACAAGCTTCAATTGACACTGCCTGAAAAAGTGGGTAAAGGATGGTTAAATGGATGGATGGATTGATATTCTATTCTATTCTATTCTATTCTATTCTATAAATAATCACACTCAATTATAAATGGATAAAAACACATTACTCAACTCACACGTACCACTGTTAATTTTGAACAATAAGGAACAAGACAAAACAGCAAGAAAACCCCGTTGTATTCTGTAACAGACTACAACTCCACATCATTCACTCCAGGCTAAAATTACCAACCAAAAGTAGACGAGTGTAAACATAATAAATCAGAATCTGCAAAAATAATAACGCACTGATACGGTCATTGAGAAGGCAGAGCACAGCCAGTGGAAGGAAGAGAGAGACAGCTTCCTCAGACAGGTTGGAAATTAGTTTTCACTCCAATATATCATTTCCTATTCTCTCAGAGCTTCATACCCTCTTCTTTTGTATTCCGAGAGATTTTAGTGTAAACGGTGCATGACTAAAATGTCAAGTACACCGAGTAAAAGCATCCTAAAAATTGAATTCTTCTGTAAAAATGCTGAGGATTCAGAAGGTCGTTTGGGCCCCCTATGGCTAAGACAGTTTCCAATACAACTGGATATTGAAAGTGGCATGGCAATTTAAGCAAATTGTATATTCGATACAAATTCAGCAAAAAAATGTCAGGCTCCAGTACCTGCTTTAAAAAAAAACCATTATGTCTGATTACAAACTATAAGGCAAAGAATTACATAAAGAAAAACTGTGAACCTTGAGCTATGAACCTATAACTCATATTTAATGTAACTGAGACAGAAGAGTACACTATAGAACTGTTTTCTTTTAGGGCCAGAGAGTTCACACTACTTCTATTTCAAAACCTAGTGCCTTTATAGTGTTGTGCATTTGATCTCTAAGGGTCCAGAGTGTTAAAGTTTTTGACTGATGTCAGTGACTTAGTGCCAAATGCTAAACCTCAGTGTTACTCAGTTTGATTGCTGTTTGTCTAATTCTTTGCAGAAATGCTGCTCTGCATGCTTAAGTAGGCGTTAATGAGTGAATAAGAAGGATGTTCATTCAATKTCCCTACCTCTATGTAACATTGCCAAAAACACTTTTACAGTAAGTGTTTGGTTCTGCCAAATCTGTCTCTTACAAGTCCCATTTAAATATGACTAATTTGCATTGGCTAATATGCTTCGGAAAAAAAAGACTCATGGATTGCATGCAGCCATAAAATGTTATTTTACTTCAAGTCATGTGATGATTGTGTACGATAAAGTTGAACTGTGATGAAGACAAATTAGCCAACTGGAAATGCCAGAGTGTATGGGACGACTTCGATTACAAGAGTGAGAATAACAGTACAGTCATTTTTCTAGGAGAAAAAACATTAATCTATTAGTCATTCATCCCTCGTATAAACAGAAACAGTGGTTTAATCGAATTTCACCACCGGCTTGGTGGACTGATATCACGGTCTAAAAGAAATACTATCCTAGAGCACTGGTTCCCAAACTTTTGATCTTCTGACCCACAAAATATCCATGGCAAAAACTTGTGACCCCAAATATTACTGGTCTGAGTACATGAACTTGGTTAATAACCCTAAAAACACAGGCTTTTTGACAATCTAAACAGCTTGTACACTAATGTAAATACTTATTTTGTGTTTTTGTAATAATTATAGGGAAAATATTACATCAGCAATTATTTTATTACCCTTTAAATTGATTTCTGGAGYTTATCCAAGGTGCTTCATGACCCATAATTGGGTCCCACGCACAACTTTGGGAACCAAAGTGCAGTGGTTCCCAAASTTTTCAGCTTTTGACCCACAAAATAACAGTAGCAGAGACCTGTGCCCCCAGCTATTTTTGGATGATAAACATTTGTATCAGGTCAACTAAACATGGACATGGTAACAATATTTTTTATACTACATTTATCCATTTTAAATACACTAACCTCACTCCTTTGTAACAACTAAGGCAAAAATGTCATTAATTCAGAAAATCTTTTCAGGACCCCACCTTGATGTTTCGGGACGCCACTTTGGGTCCCGACCCCAGCTTTGGGAAACACTGTCCTAGAGGATTCTTTGAAACTGAGTTGGAGGAGTCAAGTTTCCACAGTTGAAACAATCAAACTTCAACTACTAACCTAGTTGGCTCACCGCCCCGTCAGTGTCACTCAACCCTAGGATGTTCTAAATGCATAATGCATAGAGAGTATAAGTACTGTTCAGTGTGAGGAGTGAAATAAATGCACTGTTTGCCAGCCTCATAGAAGAATGCCAGTGATCAGCCCAAATCAAGTGCATGACAATCAAGTCTCGTGTGTTGCTGTTTTATTTGAATAAAGTTGGCCATTTCTCACACTAAGAAAARAGCCGTCCAATTAAGGAAGGCTGCAGTTTTCAAAATGTATTCTAGCATGGATTTGAAAGGTCTAATGGTGTTGAACTGACAATATGTACAGGGCTGTAGATCTAAAACCCACAAGAAAAMAATAGAAAAAAACAACACTGCTGAAAAAATATATGTAGTTACTTTGTTTCAGAAGCATTTTTATAAATACGAGGAAGTAACTCTAAGTTAGATCGCACTGACTACTGTAAAACGATTCCKAGAATTAACCATCGTGACAGTCACGAATCAATGAAACCACAGACTGATYCACAAACACAAACCATGGTGATTTGATACACTGTTTCTCAGTATCAACAGAGCGTAAACCACATTATGCGAAACTGTGGTTGCTTARAAAGGAACGGACAATTCATTTCCCATTTCAAGAGGAGAAATGACATTGTCCTCCAGAGACAATAGATAAAGAAAATTCAAAGAACCKGTTTCTCTCATGATTTGATTGCCCTAAGGTTACAAAAGAGCAAACATGGCTGGAAATTTCAAAGACCCAAACAAAAACAAAACAAAAACAAAGATAATTTAGCCTGAATTTGAATAAAGACATAAACACTGCACACTTTTCTGCTATTCTAACTCGTTTTCCCAAAAAGTGAAAAATTCATTAGGCTTGTTTTGTGAAATATTTGAACAATTAAAAGGTCTTGAAGGAATTGATATTGCCAGAGTTTTAGATAAAAAAATCATCTTATGAGAGGTTGATTAAAATCTGTCCGGTGTGATGAGATATTGGCTGCGTCCTTGCACACGATACGGTGGCATTTGTAGGCAGCTTACGTCACTTCTCCCGTGCCGTAGYTCGTCCCATTTCGTAGGCGCCTATTCATGAGGCTGAAGATATCCCAGGATTAATTGTGCCATCAGCAAACTGTTTTTGTTTTTAAAGCGGAATTTAGTTCTTTGGGGATTTTTTTTACTAAAACGTTTAACGAATTTAGCACAGACAAAATAATTCGCTTTTAAAAAGTGGTGGGCAGCACTAATCTAAAAATTAGTTCCACTAGCCCTAAAACACTAACTCACATATTTGGGCCCCTTAATTCTAAAGCACTAACACACTGAGGGTTTTAGCAAAAGCTAATTCTAAAGCACGAAAATAACCCAATCAACTCATGAACATTCTTCAACAGACAACATGAGTCACATATTGTCATGTTGCTCTCTTAATTCTCATCARTGACATTRCACAGCTGTATTTGGGTTCATATATRGCCAATATATTGTCACCTGGTGGATAAGTGACACATACGAACAAAATGGTTGACAGCTTTCACCCTCAGCTGTTAACAGCAACGTTGATCAGTAACARAGTTAGTGCTTCTAAATTTAGCCTATAAATTTAGCAAGTGCTAATACACTAATAAATGTTAAAATTAGCAAAAGCCCTAAAACACTAATTAGGTCCCCTATTAGTGATTTAGTGCTTTAGGGGAACTATGTCCACCACTGCTTTTAAATTTAAATTTACCAACTTAGCTGATAAAATTTATGTTGCAAGGTAAAATAAAATGCAATTACAAGTACTGGTACTGTAGCTAAACCCATGTGTTACTGTTTTTTTTTTTACGTGTAATGTTTTTTTAATAATACTGAATTTTATGAAGTTATAACAGGGTAGCACATGGTCACGCAAACTTACGTGATCTGTAGATAAGACCGTCTCATTTCCCAGCTGTTTATGAGGCCTATACAGGTGTAGGCCACGTAGGCCATGTTCTAGGTAGGCTGCAACCCCTGAGTTGGGAACCAGCCATTTTCCTAACGGTACAGACAAATGCTATTTCTCCCCAGTTTCTTCAATGTCAGGCGGTAATGAAATTATAAACTGTTTGAAGAGCAAACACCTGTGTTTTAGATMAATAAATCTGATCATYTATGATTTTACATGARGTAGTTTRCAAATGCAGTTAAACTATACCACTGTATGGACAAGTACATGTGTTCTGTCCCTTCACATAAATGCTTGCAGTGTGTGTCAGCCGTGATCTATYTGCCACAGTGTGTATTGTGCCAAGGAGTTGGCAGATCATCAGCTAGATAGAGAATAAAGCACAGGGCTGCATATCCTACAAGCAAAGTAAGCAATGTGTTTGCAGCAGTGACAGGGACAGTAGGGCCTCGCTCTCAGCGCAACTACCCTGGCTTTCCCTCCTCAGCTGACACAGTATCACCTGTCAAAGTACTTAGATAATTGGATATGAGAGGGATCACAGTCTTGCCACTATAACCAATGACACTGTCAGCAGCATCGCTGAGAACCAGAATCTCCTTGCATTATGGGCCCAGACTGAGCAAGGGGCTGAAATATAAACGTATTTTCGGCTGGCGGACCGAACATCGAAGCAGATCACAAATCATCTGGCCCAAAGTTACAATCACCTAGCCAGCAGGAATGGGGCAGTAAATGTTTACAGWTGCATGTAAAGATACTAAAAATACCCTGCCCTCCTTGGAGAACGACAGCGCTGTCTTTCACTGTTACAACCTAAGGACACAAAACGGTTATTGCCATCTCAAGGTACATATTTTTTCTTTTTAATTCAGAACGTCACCACGAGGCAGGTCAAGCCACCTTCATGAGTTCATCAATAACTCTAGCCTTTCTGTTTAAGCACAAATGATGGAAATAATCGCAATCTTCAATCAGTCCCTATATTTTAACAAATCAAGTGCCCATTTCATCTAAACTTCTAGGTTAGGAAAAGGAAGTCAAATCGCTACCCATCCAGTTGGAAAGTAAAGCTCCTGCATAAATGACAATTTAGTAAGTCGTTTCCACTGTTATTTTATTATTTCTGTCTTATTATGCATTCTTGGCTTTTAAGGTCCCTTTATGTCCCATATTCTGCTCCAAGGAGATTTCTGGAATAAATGTATTAATTCTGTTCAAATCATTCTCCGTCTTTCAGATCACCTCACTGCTTGCCCTTAATAAAGAAGGTAAATGAGACTATTGCTCAGATGGTTCGGCTCAACCCCTTCATAACATTTCATAGAAAACTAATTTTTCATTAGAAAAACACCAGAAATGGATGAAAGCAGGAGTAATGTGTCATTGAGGGAAGAACAACAAAACATAGTTGTCTTTTTTGTTCAGTTTTTTTGTTCGTTTTCTTACTTTGTTGACTTAATAAGTGGACTGCTTCCTAATCGAAACGACGGCAGGTCTTCTGTGACTGTTCCTTTACGTAGAAGGAATTTTTCAGTGAGATCAAATCCTGCGAACAAGACCACAGCATGTCACTATGAAWGCTAATATCGACTCTCTTAAAGAACAAATTTAACACATACCTGTGATTTCCAGTGGACGATCTAAACTATCAGAAAACCTGTGATCTTCCACAGTCAGACTGGGACACAAGCCATCTGGGCAAAAGTCAGCAAGTAATTGTTTTGATCCAGTTTCTGAACAGTGCAACTCCATTGAATGCTTCTCTTTTTATGGTCTTTTTTATTTTTCAGAAACATTGCACTGGAGACAAAAATAAACAAGTTAATAATAAAGTCACATACCTGCTCGTTCACTCACTGCCATTCCAAAAGTGCGAGGAACCGAGCTCACGGTCCAAAAAAAAGCAACCCATCTTAGTAAGCAATAAATCATGGCTCTGGTGCTGGAAGGCAGTCCACCTGAAAACCTGAACAGGGAAGCAGAAGAGTTCTTTCTGTATTATTCCAAAACCATTTCCTTTTAACRTAGAATAACGCACCGAGCAAAGATAATTCTGAAAAGACCCGTGTCAACAAATGTGTAACTCAGAGAATTTAGAGAGCGTAATGATGAATTAGTTTAGCGTCACTGCTGAAAGCTGTGGAAACAGCTGGTGGAGCTGACAGCTCCTGCAATCGAGTGCTGAAGGGGAATACGGGCCAAACGGATTTAACCATGTCCAACTGTGCAGYCCTTGTTCGGGGCTTTCCAGGCATCTGTGTGTAAGCAGAAAAACGCTAAATAAAAGGTCTAATTTGTAAGATTTACTTTAGATAAAAACACGTTTGATATTGGAAACCCCGTGTTTTAATATTTAACATATGGAAAGGGATTTTTTATTGCTTTGTTTGTAAGTGTGCCTACCAAGTGGCGAAGTGATGTAATTTTGTCCTATTGCGAACTTTATTTTTTTTTAGAAACGATTTAATTCTGATTGCATCTGATCAGACTAAAGCAGCGTAGCTTAAGTTACCCCATGAATCTGTATGCAATGTGTTGCTGTTCTAGATCTTTCTGGATTAATTACCTCCGCCAAGGGCGAGGTAATCTTTTCGGTCACGTCTGTCTGTCTGTCTGTGGACAACATTACTCAAAAACTTGTGGACAGATTGTCATGACATTTTTAACACTTGTGAGTACTGGGCCAAGGAACACAACTTTAAATTTTGGTGATGTTCCAGATCATGATGCAGATACACGATTTTTTTTTTCCTTTTAACACTCTGAGATCGGCAAAGCTGTGATGCTTTCACAGGGCTTCTGTAAAAAACAGTGAGCTGGATCGGACAGCACAGACTTCAAACTTTATAAAAGTACTGTTAAAACCACATTTAATGATGAATAATTTTCCCCTAATATGCACATTTACAGAACGTTCTGTGACCAGGAAGTGCTTGACTGCACCATGAAACCTATTTTTCCCATTTCCTCAAACACACCACATTTCCGAAACAACCAATCAAAACAGGTTCTCGCTACTAGGCTTGTAAACAGAGAGCTGCCGGGCCTCAAAGTTTGGAGACGGGGGGAACCAGGAAGCACTTTATAAAGAGAGTCTCTGCTTTTTGTTATGAATTGGTAAAAATGAACCCAGGGTGCAGGCAGCTTCCAAAAGGAAAAAAAAAATAAAGATTTATTAAACAAAAATTGCTGACAGCTCAAAAACTCTCTTGGTGTAGCAAGGTAAGGCAACAAACATACAGGCTGTGAACAGCACAATGATCAGACAGGAAGTGAAGACAAGACACAGAATATAAAGGTGAGACTAARGAGCACAAACAGGAAACACCTGGGAGAGAAYCATGAGGATCAGGTGAGAGTGGGCGGGGCTGGAGCAAAGGCAGACAGGAGGAAGAAAACAGATGACAAGACAGAAACTAAAATAAAACATTAACACAGACACAAATCATAACACTTTTGCACATTAACTCTTATAGGATGGGGGAAATTGGCGGAGGTTTGCACTCTCAGAGTGCTTCTAGTTCTGTATAAAAAGGAGGGAGTAGCTAAATCATCAGACTGAAGCCATTGCCAAAGTGCAGTAAAATGCAATCATGCTCTGGGCATGGGTCAAACACATTAATGGCTTATTAATACTCTGAATAAAAAAAAACATTTCATATTCTTGTCAAAAATGTCAATAAAATGTAAAAAAGCTTTGCAAAATCCTCATCCTTATTGACTTCTTATTGTCCAGTTAGCTACTAAAGATTACTCTCCGGCTTTAATCTCTTGTTCAAATATAGTCGTTATTATCTCCAAGATGACCTGGATGGTTGTGGCTGAATAACAAACCCAAAGCTTTAAAAAAAGGCAAGTCATTATCTAAGAAATGATGTCATCTTGTATTGGATCCATGCCATTTAGTTGCAAAGATAAAAACAACAAAAAGATAACTTTAARAGTCATTGAAAATGAGTGAATGGTGTACATCGTGTGTGTATTTGAGGTTGTGTGTAACTAGAGGTGGCAAATAATAAAAAACAAAAATAATTTGTGACTTTACTTATTTAGTAATTTTGGTTATTTATACTTATACCCCTTCCATTTTCATACAGTTACCTGTAGCAAGACATACATATATACATACATACATATACTTATTTAGTAATTTTGGTTATTTATACTTATACCCCTTCCATTTTCATACAGTTACCTGTAGCAAGACATACATATATACATACATGTATATGTGGCTGAAACAGTGAGACTAGTACATCCCAAATCATTATGGCCGTTAGAAAAGCCAACAATGGGTTAAAAAGACTAAAAGTGCACTACTAACTGATTAATATATAACAGTGTTCTAATATCTCCAAACAAATTTGCTCAATGCTCCTGTTTCACATGCACATCCCCTGTGTGGTCCCAGGTCTCGCAAACCGCCACTCAGTAATAAGAATACGCCGGTGAGTCCTTCATTCTTGTGATCTCATTAGCATCTCCCACACTGTGATGAATGCAGATGTCAACAGTGTGCTGCAGCAACATCATTAGCCCCTAGCTCTGTTTTGTTAAAGGTTTGGTTGTTAACTAGTTAGCCAAGGTGACCTTGTAAAGCCTTTTTAATTTGTTGTTGTAAATGAATTAACCTGTACTGTACATGTCAGGGTAATTACATCGGGGGTTGGACGCAATTGCTGACTCCTTTTGCGCTACTTTCAGTCGTGGTGCCAAAGCCTTGAGCTTTCTCCAATAGCACTTTATTTTTTTGTATTTGGATCTGAGAAAGGACGGCAAAGTCCCGGTCAAGGACGTCATTTGCAAAGAAGAAACCTGGGAACCTCCAGGTTGAAGGCAGTCTCCTGAACCTGAAGTGTCCGTGCTGCCAAAACAAAGCCTTAGCGTTCCACTCGTGCCTGTAGAGGCTGCACACAGAGGAGGAGGTCYCTGAGGATGGAGTCTCTTTGGGAAGGCAGGCTCAAATTGAATAGATTGCGCCACCTTAAAAAAAAAACACCTTGACAAACTTTTAAAGTAAAAAAAAGTGCACTGCTATAATAACACCTTGACTGAAATGAGCTATAAATAGACTTTCTCCTAGGATTTTCAAACAATAAAAAACTGAACACAGCCTACACACCCACACAAAGGTACACATACAGTTTGCACTCAAATAWTTGAATAAATAAAATCTATATTTTAGTCACATTAGATCCGTTTCATCTCCAAACATGCGGAATTAGCATAATTTGGAGTGGATAAGCTGTRTGAACACCTGTTATTGTTTAATGATGATGCAGCTTTCACCCCAATGCAAAGATAATACTTTTTACCCTGCTGCACTCGTCTGTTTCCACTGGGAACAAAAACAACTGCAGACATTTTTTCATAGCCTACATGACCTCCACAAAACAAAACGACACCAATTAACTGCATCTATACGTACAGTCTAACAAAGTGTGACCAAAACTCTTTTTTTTCCTTAAAGGGTAATCTTTTCAAAGTCAAGAAGACAAATAAAAATCATTAAGTAAGAAATAAAACCCTAACAACTGTTTTTTTTACTGAGTCCTTAAAGGGGACATATGCAAAATCCACTTTTTTAGCCGTTAACTATATTTTGTTGTTTACTTGGTGCAGAAACGTTTAATTTAGTTTCTCCCAGTGCTGCAAAGATATCTTTATTTTCTGTTCAGGTCATATTTTCAACCCATTCAGTTTTCTCTATTCTCCATGATGTTTTCTGAACTATAACATAACATCAAAATATTTGCAACAGAACTGCCAAATAAGGTCTGGACTCACCAACTATTTGGTGGTCTTCATTCTCCTCTGGCTCTGGCTCCAACATGTAAGGATAAGACTTCCCTTGACGTATTTTTTAAAAAATTTTTAATTAAAACGTTTCTGCACTGCTATAGCCAAAAACCTCTCGATCAAGCTACAGTGGGTTTAAAGAGGCAGCGTCAAAATGAGTTGATCTGAGACACACCTCAGAAAAGGGGTGGCAGAGGGGCTTGTGGAGCTACAATAAGGAGGAATTGAGACCAAAGCGTTGCAGTTCCACTTTATATAGACACCAATAAAAGGATTTAAATAGGAAAAAGAAGAATTTTAAAGCATGACATGTCTCCTTTAAATGATAAAAAATATAAGCAAATGAAAGCAGATTCATTCAAATCACCTAAACATTTTCTCCAAAATTTTACGCTAGTCCAATTTTGTCATTTTTTTAAGGCCAGCCTACTGTAGGTTAATTACATGAGGTCCACGTGGTTCCCAGCAGATTCTGCCAAGTGCTTTGTTTACGCTGAGCGCGTACCTGCACTTCGGAAGCATATCAAACCAAACAACTGGAGCAAAACGCTTTCAACCTGCACCATATTCATGCAGTTCGATTTGATTTCYTCTGCGATGAACTCCTTTAAACTTTCCCCGTCTTATTAAAAGTTCAGTTCGTGCAGCAGGCCAGCCCAGTTAAAAGTTTCACATGCAGGCCTGCAGCAGGCTGTCATGGCGTTTGGAGATGAGGTGACCATGCCACCTAAGACTTCAAGCATGCTTGGGTTGTAGACAAGCAGCACTACGCTGGTATCACATGGCTGACAGGAAGGTGATATGGTATTCCTGATATTTTCTGCTCTCTCTCTCTCTCTCTCTCTCTAGCAGGCTGCATTTACAGCTCCAAAATAACAAAATACCCCACTAGAAGAATAGTAATTCTGCAGGAGGGTTAAAATGCTGCTTTAAGCCCTTAAAAGGCGGACAGTAACACTGATGGACCATCTGCTGTCAGCCTGCATCGACCTAAAGTCGAAATTGGCACAGTGGCAGTGAAGGCATTGCGTCACAGCTTCAGATAAGAGCCTGAACAAGGCTTGGACACTTAAGTTTCACTCCATCACGCGCCCAGCCGCTTTCGGTCAATGGCAATAACTCTTTTTAACACTCCCAATAAAAATAAATAATTTAGGAAAAAAAACGTGTCTCTCTGGATTTGTATTAATAAACAATTACAGACTAAAGAAAATCGGTGTTTTTCTGTTAATTGATGCAAATAGATTACCGGAGGGGTCCGGTGTAGGGGGGGGGATCCCGACGCGCACTTAAATTAAAAATAAACAAGAATGATAAACTTTACCATCAAGCGAGAAAAAAAGGTGCACAAATCTGCTGCTTCATTCAGCAGGCAGACACGCTCACTAAATCCTGATATGTATGTATTTGAGGTAGAAGTACTTACAAAATTGCTGATAAAGTTTCCTTTAAGGCAGAAACAAACACAAAAGCAGCGACAAAAGCATAATCCGAGCGTGATACCGATCAGTCCGGCTCCGGATTCCGGGACTTAGAAATAAATATATATATAAATAAAAAAAGGAAAAAAAAAAAAGTCACAGAGTGGGATCTCCTGCTCGATCGCGGTCCTTTTTAGTTCCACGGAGTGGCCCTCCCACTCTGTCATTATACCACTGAGGCGCACTGACAGAGACTTCTGCAAACAAACAAGACGAGCACTCTGAAAGCTTTCTTATTAAGGGGGGCAAATTAATGCCCGCAGGCAGCTCAAACAAACTCCCATTAACAGAGCAGGTGCGGGAATTAAACTCTGTTTGATGTATTGTGATTTAATCAAATTTTCCCCCAAGAAAGGCCTGAATTAAATGGATTTGTTCG